CCCTCCAAAGCAGTGCGCTTACATACACTAGCCACCGCTGAGGTGATAGGCATTCGCCTATTCGCACCAGAACTATGTGCACAAAAGCGACTGGTTCAAGCTCTCCACTTACCCTGGCCCCAAATGGATCATCAACATCACCATCATCACCACCACCACTCCAATCACAATCAGTCTCACCCGAACACAGACACATAGAGCTTACCTCTCCCCTCTCCTCTCCTCATCCCAAATGACCCTTTGACCCAGCGTGAAAATGTCCCCACTAACAACAAACCCTTATATGATCTGTACAGGTACGATTGTGAATCATTCGAAAACAATTGTTCGCTTTCAGACTTGTGTTCTGATGTTACAATGGAATTATTTCGGAATAATGAAATCAGAATGCAGTTAACTAGAACGACAGTTTGATTATCATTCATCATTCATCGTGTAACGGAGGTGTAGTCATTGTTTTTTCACTGCACTGCTCCGGAAAATAATCCAAATCCATAAGATTCTAAATTGATTTTGCGCTGCTCTAGTAAAAACAACAACAAACAAACAGTTTACCACACGTACAATCAATAAATTAAAGCGATCTTTTCCAAACGCTTTGGTGTTGAACGCTGGCATGAGGAAAGTGCTCGCGGTCTGGTAGATGGCAACGATCATATACTTATTGGTGGATGTAGAACTATAGTTCGATCACTCAACAATTCGCGCAGTTATTCTGATATAAGAAAAGCTGGTTGCATTCGCTCATATGTAACTTGTGCTCTAACCTGGTCCAACGCTTTGGTCACTCGATTCCGGATGGATCTGAGTCTCGGTCAATGGTAGTTGAGATAATGAAAGAAATTTCACATTTGGGATGATTTTCCAGACTAGATATACTCAATTCAATAAGGAACCAGAGAATTTCGCCTCACCAGTGATGATTCCTGTTAGGTTATTCAGTACGAAGCATCCATCCACTGCTCATGCCGACTCGAACGAATACACGAAGTTCGGGAGCATGTTCGAATTCATATTAAAATGAACCACAGTATGTGCAAGCATTTCACAGAGCGAATCTACCGTTTGCACCCGAAACAGATTTGATTAGTTCGATTAAATTACAAGATTCAAAGCTGTGAGGACATTCTGACTTTGGTGTTGTTTGGCAAACTTTAAATAGTATGATCGAATTGTGAAAAGTTTAGTAGCCTCTGTAGAATTGGAGCTCATGCACAGACGGCTCTTATGTTTTTATACAGTGCACCAGTTGAGTTACGAGTCCACAATGAACATTGATATTTCTACATTTGGATTAACCATATAATGCGTGGCATTCATGCGTGGATTCGAATTCCACCGAGGCCACTGAGCTTTTGACAATTCGGCCATAATTCTGAGCTCAGTCAGGTTGTCAAACCATGAAATACCAAAACACAACAGGGTGAATTTAAGTGGTGGTTGATTTGTTGGTTGTGTGCTACGAGGATACGAAGCCTGCGGAATTGTTGCTTCATGGATTTCAACTGTAGGGTGTGATTGGTCGTTTGTTCCCAAATATCTTGTCCCTGTAACTGGCGTTCTTCCCCCAGACCAGTTTTGCGATTTCATTGACAAACTGTGCGTGATTTAGCTATTGTAATCCCTCAGTCTCACATACAGCTGCATGTTCACCAGCTGTTGATGTTTGTGATGCTCTCGTTATCAGCCACTGCCCCAATTGTGGGGATGAGGCGATCCTGCTGGGCACGGTAAAAGCAATCTATTAGTCAATGTGAAAGACTCGAGATGGTCAATAAGGAAAGGGGTTTTGACTCTCACAATAGTCATACTTCCATATTGAAGTTGTCCCGTTCGATTGATTGATAACCAAAGAAGCATCTCACCTGTACATCATACCAGAAACAAGGAACAACATCAGATGAGAACAGGGATGAGAGCGAACGGCTTAGTCTTAGCAGTCCAAATTCAAGGACTTGTGAAAGATTTAATGTGAGCATACAGTGGAAATTCTGTACACAAAGCAAAGCAGAAGGTAAAGTGAAAAGCTGTGCGGCACTAAGCGTTAATTCTCACCATGCAGTCTGTCAAGAGTATTCCAAGTGCATCAGCTCAACTGAAACTCGAACCAGAATCACTCTGTAAATTTATTTTATGGCAAATGCATTGCATTAGTCAGTTATGATCAAACAGTACAACACTCCCGAAATAGAATAATTATGTTTCATTGAACTCCATTATCTGATACAAAATTTTACCCCAATATTGCACTTTATTGTTTGTCTTAAAAGTTCTTCAACTGAAATGACATTTCAACACATATTTGGCTCGATTTGAGGTATTCACTCACCCATTCTGTATTGGCTTTTCTATCCGCGGAATGACCGAAAACAGAACCGGAAAACGATCTACTAGCTCTGGGCGGTCGACGTTTTGCCTCTAACCTTCCAACGTGTGATACGGCCTCTCTGATTATTTCTGGTATTCAGGCGCGATATACCGGGGTGTTACCACAAGTGAATGTGCTTCTCACGGATACGACAAGTTTCGAGCTTGTGGTGAGTCATTTAATGATAGAATCTAAAATTTCAAACATTTTATCTCAAATAGTTACCAGGCGTTTGGTAGAGGAATGTTTGAATTAAAAATTATTTGGAGTGGATAGCAATTTACTTCGAAAAAAAAAGTGTGAGCGCGATGGTCGAAGAAATAATGATTATCACATTGCATTGAACTTTGTTCACGAATGGATCTCCACAAATGACAATGTATCGGTTCCGGTTACCAGAGTTTGTAGGTTGACCATATTCATGTTGTGCGACTCAGTTCCTAATATTTATTATCAGCGGACCAATATGAGGTAAATTTAATCCGTCATACTGTTCCACAGAACAAGCAGCCCCGGAAATCAGTATTACTCACACGAGCACATTGTGAACTTAAAATGAGCTCAACAGTTTTTTTTCATGGGACTATCTGGCTATCTATATGCCTCAGCCTATGTTATACTCAATCACTCTCGATCGGAAAGTTTAGACACAAAATTTGTTTTTCCTCAGCTACTGACTTTGTCATGCGTTGATGAGCATGTGTGCATTTGTTATTGTGTAAGACATATCAACGCTTCAATAACCGCTCATTTTTCTTCTTTTTTTTATCACAGCATCTACGTGTGATCTGCCCAACTGACCAGTTATACAGCTTTATTGCCAATGATTGTGCGACGAGTCCAGAAACTGTCACATGTACAACGGATACTTTCTGCTTATTTATAGGACAATGCAAACAAACAGGACCTGGCACCTGCATAGATAAAATGCGTTCGGTAAAATTGGATTCAATTACCAAGGTGGAACCATACAATTACCAAGTAGTGGAGGTCAGTGTGAACAATCTTGCTTTCAACCGTTTGTGAATAATTGGTGTAGCAAGCAGTTTAGAATGTTTCATTTAACCACATGCCCCTTTTGGTTTTTTACCCACATCTGACTAGCTCTGGCAAGATCGCGAATCGAGCTTAGTGCATCTGAAGTTTGTGGTCAACTGTAGAAAATTTGATGCATATGCATACAGATGACGAACGATCAATCCAAATCAACCATGCATTGTTCGCTCTCCGAAATAAACTGTGGCGTTTAAGCTCCTTACTGTCTGCTCATGATAATAATCCGGTCAAACCAGGAGTTGTACGTTTAAGTGAAACAGATTTCTGTTGCACGAAGAGGATCCGGGGGTGGGTGAGGGTGTTGTTATGATGATGATGATGATGATGATGATGATGATGAAAGGTGTGCACGTTTCATGTGGTTCAAGAGACCTCTTTGCTCTGCTCTCTTGAGTTTGGATGCTACTCATAAAAGGATGATTTTTCTGGTGTTCAATGTTAGACGGTATAAAGTCTATAATCTTCCCATTCGGTCTGCTACATTTATAGTGAAATGATAGTCATATCGCACCTAACACAAAAAAAATGAAACAGAAAGAAATGAATAATTACAAGTTTGAATCAAATAATGGCCGTGGTAAGATAGAAAGGGTTCCAAGTATAGCAGGAAATACATGTTATAACGTACAGAAAACCCTGACGGACCACATCAGACTATGCGTTAAGTGCTCTAGCTGTCTCGTAACCCTCCAGATGTTTTCTTCTACTGATAAGCTGCTAATTTCCGACAACTTGGGGTTCAGCTGGCTGATTGGAGCTGTGACTGAATCTCGATTTCAATCGCTTTATTATCGATTAGAATGACTTCGAAGAGTAGTGGAGGTGAAGCCATCAGGGTCTATCTGACGTGATAATCCGAGGCTTATTCCATGACGTTGGCTGCGTTGCTATTCCTATTGCCTATAGAATATTTTGTCTATCCTTTTTAATAATTTCCACCAATTTTTGATTCCACCATTTCTTCGATTTGAATTTTCGCTGTGTTCGAATTTGACCAACCAGTGAAAACAACCCTCCAGTTTCTGTCCGCTGAGGCTGATACTGTATAATCCGATTGGACATCGTTTTCTTTACGCAAGCCCAAAACTCCATTCTTTCACTGGATATTCATTGCACCTGCATGAAGTCTAAAATAGTCGATTTTCTTCGGCAAAATATGATTGATTCATAGTGGTGCATCTGGCTGCTGTTTAATTACTCTCTCTCGCTTATTTTTTCGGAAATTTGTCGACATCTTTTATTTTAAAAAAAATCTTTGGGCGATTTAACGAAAAAGGGGTATAAATTGTATTCATTCCATAGAAATTCCACTTTTCAATTCTAGATGACGGTTTCAGCTTAAGGTGCCTAGCTCACGTGGAATAATGCAGCACATTTGAAGGACCTAAACACATTCGAGATTCCGCGGATAACAAGCATGTTACATGTCTTAAATTAAAGTGTTTTACTGTGACTTGTATCGAGTATCAAGTATCGGAAAATAACTCGGATAAATCATTGAACTGAAAGTTTTGTAAATAAATCTTGTTTGATCAATTGAATGCTGTTTTTCTTCAACACCGCTGTTATACCTTAACGATCTTCCAAAATGCCCGACACCCAAGAGATCCTCAAATGCATCAACTCTGCTGTAGTTGGATGCTCAGTGCAAGTGTTGATACATAGTGGTCAAATTCATTTGATAAACAAACATTTTGGTCATTTTTAAGTTTAGTTTGGTTTATTTAGACGATACCTTGTTTTCTCGTTTTTTCAATTATTCTAACAGCAATCTGGTCAAATCATAAGCAGTTTCAGCAATCACCTCACTAAAGTTTCGAAAAGTATTTAATTATTCAATTCCCTCTCCACCAAACCCCAAATCTCTCTGTGTGTGTGGTCAAATCGATCAATTCAGAGTTCATTTTTATCAAGCTATGCGAATGCACTTCTCTGAGGGTCTTTTGGAAACGTTCTCTGACAATTAGCCCCGTACCCAACCTGTTTCCCTTCCTCTCACAAGCGCGCAAAAACACGTCAGAATCAGCACGAAAAGTGTACTGCACAAAGCCAAACACATCGATGCGGGGTGACGTAACTGTCCTACTCACTAAGATTAGGACCTTATTCGTGGCTTTAATGAAACGATTCAATGTTATTTGCCCCGTCACTGGCTTTTATCACGAGGCTATTTTGCAACGTCCGTTAACCTAGTACGTGGTCTTTTGTGATTNTTTGTGATTATTTACCTTAGTTTAAATGTCACACGTTTTCGTATTATTTCAGTGCATTGTGAAACAGTCCCCACTCACTGCCTCAAATCTGCACCATACGCAATTGGTAACATTAAAAATTTTGGAAATTTTCTCTCCTCGGCAACTCACTGATTTACCGTCCACCTACCCACTATCCAAACAAATTTTACCGGGCACGTAATGGTGACATATTTACCTATATTCGGTTTACCGCACTTTTTTCCATGCAAACTTTACACTGTTTGCTGTGTCCACATTCTGTGTGAAAACCCAACCAAAAACCCCGATTCCAATGACTAAAAGCGGCACAATTTACTTGTGTGAACGGCTTAAAAATACAGAGCTTATTACTTTAAATCATAATATAGATAAATATATCTGTATCTGCCTGATTTTCATTTTGGTTTGGTCAGAAACTGCGTGTTACACCTACGGCTACCGGATCACAAGTGTTCACACTCCCCTCAACTTGGTCTATGCAGCCGGGCGATCGGATTGGCATGCTTTTCAGCTCGACCGTCAGCCCGGTTGCTTGCACCGATCTGACCGTGGGAACAGGCGATTTGATCAGCACAACAGTGACCACGTTGAATCCAGCCGACACGATCGCAAGCACTTCGTTAACTCGAAGTAAAAAGATCGCTCAGGTATGCCTTAGTGGATAGCAAAGAACCAAAACGGTTTCATGCATTTCGTGAAACGGAATTTTTCTATTCCAGACAGTTACAGGTGGTGATGGACAACTGATGGGTCCTGAACTAATCTCTTTTTATGTCATGGCACTCCTACCATAAACCACTTCACCCTTCCTGGAAATTGATTATTTAGTTATGTACTCCAGAAACGAAAGTAAAATGTTGTTGAATTTATAGATGCAGGGAAGGAACCACGCATTGTTATATTAATTCGGGCATTCTTACCTGGCTGCAGTAAATTCTTTCGTTATATTTTGAGAAATAAGTGCAAATGCAAATGTAACTAAGTAGTGGTGGTGCAGTGGTATAGTCGCTGTTACAAGCCTGCTCTGGACCTTATGGTCCGAGGTTCGAGCCCCGCCACTGCCATCCAACGTTGGTGGTAGGCAGCTCTGCTGCTGTCCGGTCCAATACCACACCTAACCTATCGGGGCCTTATGTGGTTCGCCACTCCAAGTCCCGGGGCTTAAGTTGCCGGTTTCCACCACAGAACAGCAGGTCCTCGTGACTATGGGGATTACCCCGTTTGCTGTTCATCACACAAAAGTGTGTAATAAAAAGTGCTTTTAATGGCCATACAAATGCATGTCAAAAATAGCATACTGGCGATACACCGATGGAAGTTTTGACTAACAATCGATTAAACAGAACGGATTCAGTTATTGTGTTTGTAGACGTCATCTGACTACTCATATAAGCCTTTTGGCTCATTCTCAAGTTTGCGACTGTTGATGTTGTTTGCAGTGGTTTCTAATATTCTGAGAATAGGTTTTAAATAATAGACCGAAGTAATTGTGGAGTGATTCCGGAATCAAAGCTCCAACTGGTTTGGAAAATGTTACTCCATCCCTTCCAGTCCATCACATGTTTGGATTGAAGCATCATTTGAACAACACTATGCGTACCAACCATTCGGCCAAGGTGTTTGGCACAGTGTATGCGATATTCACTCGGTATGGCTTTGGGTACGGGCACACAATTCCACCGTGTGACTCGATCTGGGAAACCGGAAACCGTTCACGTGATACCCTGTTTATTTTTTCTCTTGTTCGGTTATCATGATCTGCAAAAAAGTATTTCATTTAGTCACTTATGCGAAGGTTTAAAAGTTATTATTCCAAGTGGACATCCACGATACCTTTTCGACTTTAAGTTAAACTGTAGTACCATTCAAGAGAAACTCGACCTCCGTAGAATTTACTCACCAAGCTATTGAGAGCCTAGATTGAACCCATTTCTGCAGTAGCGCATGAGCACATTCAAGCCTCGGCATCGATCCTCATTGATATGACACGCTCCCTTACCCGACCCACTGAGGTCAGTTAGCGCGGCGGTTCGTGCATTTTTCTCTAAAGATCACTCGCGGCCAGGCAGATAAGATTCACCGAGTAGGGTGGAGGAGGGTGGCGAACAGTCAAACACCCCACACCACCGGAACTTTCATCCTCACTCAATTACTCGCTCAAAAAGTACTTTTGTTTGTCTAAGTCTATCAGTTTATTCCGACTGGACGGGGTTGCGATAGACCCGGTCCAATCGGTGGCGTTTGACGGCTGAGGCATCGATCACGTTGAGATTTCCAATGGAATGCGACTGGTTGGATTCACTTTAAATTGAAAAAGTTTAGTTACCACACTGTGGTGTGTTGAGATTGCACACTGAGAATAAAAAAATACTTTAAGAAGTTAGTGTATTAGATTACTGTATTGGTTCAGATGAAAAGAATAAACAAAGCTGGCACCAATTCGAACGGTTTTGACACTTTGAACCCCTGTTCCGGTCTTCGGATTGGGTGATGCCAACTAAAACATATCCATCTGTTCAGCGTACAAAAAGATGCGTTTTTGGATTAGGACCAGTGGTTAACGTTGAATAAAAACTTCAAATTTTATTTTTTTTGACGTGGAGCCAAATATAACGATTGCAATAAACATGCCGAACCGATCGATGATCCAGATTTTGGTGGAAAATAAAGCACTTCTGTGTTAGCCCCTTCAGGAGTTGGATCACTCCTTATCGTGAGTACAGTCGAAGAGATAAAACTAACGAATTCTGAATTAGGTATTCGATCGATCCTCTCTGAAGGCCATTATAGTCAAAGCCATTAGTCTTCTGTAATCGACAGTTATTATCCATCATTTAGTGAATCTTTTGATCAATGTCTATCATCAGTAAACACTTACCAGCTAATCAATTATGAGTGCATCACGTTTATGGTGTAAAGCTCACAGGATTATGCGCCGGAACCCGAATCCCTAAATGGAAATTGTACGTGTTGTCCATTTAAATATATTTATATAAACACCTGATAAAGCCTGGTTCCAATCGCAACGCGAATATACGGTATTCATATGGCATCTAATCCAGCACAGAATAACCGAACGCATAACGCAGCTTACTGATTAGAATTGAGTCACCTATTCAATGAAGGCCACGTGAGGAGAAATCGATCGGTTAAGCGACCACCAAATCAAAGTAAATGTCTGTCACTGAAAATTGCATCACATTATTGTATGATCAACAATGTATACGTTGCAATACCATTCTGTCAAACATGAACTGTGTCTGGAAAATACAATAATTTCTATTACGTCAACTGCCTTGAACCTCGTTCCACAGATAACTGCTTGGAGTACAATAAAACGGGACCTCCAGATTTCCGGGAAAATGTCTCGCCCCGGGTTACAAACGATCACACTGAGTCTGTATTCCTTTCGTCTGAAAAATTCACCGTTTACACTGACACGCGATATTGTCGTTGGTGTCGGATTCAATAAAACCAAACTTGTGCAAAATGATTTCCTCGTGTCCACCGAAGCCACGCTTGCTCTTTTCCCCCATTCAGGTAGTCTACATGGTTGATTTTTGTTTTGTTTCCTCTGCATAATGATCCCATTTTTATTTGAATTAGTCTGTTTCGTGCGCTTTTAGTTGGGAGACGAATGAGTCATGCTTTGAAGTTCCAGTATACGAAATAGTTGAATGTATTCAGATAGTACTAGGTATATGCTTGATGGCTTCTTTCTGGTTTGTTATGATACACAATTTTATAATCAGATATTGTATATTGAAATAATCACAATCTGAAAGCATTCCAATCCCGTAAAAAGTAGCGAGAAGTTCCGCTGGTACTCCGTCATTTGGGTCAGAAAATAAACGCGTACAATACGTCGTAACGTGTGGGCATGCATATTGTATGGACGTGTGGTCAAATCAAGTTCTGCATTAGGTGGACGGCATATAACTGGCAGACAAACGGACAGACAGAGNAGAGACAGACAGACAGACAGACAGACAGACAGACAGACAGACAGACAGACAGACAGACAGACAGACAGACAGACAGATATAATCGATTAGGAAAAAAACCTTCAGAGGCGAACAACTATATTCAATACATTTTGTCCATGGCTGTGCAAAAGTCCAACAGTCAAGTGTTGACTATGCGTTTATCCGAAATTACGGTTCCGAAACGTCACTGTGTTTCAGTGAATTGGGGAAATTGGGTGAGAGAATTGTTGTGTTTAGGGCAGAACACTTCTGAAGTCAGGTGGTAGTGTGAAAATGTTTGTGATAACCGAAAGGGCACTGGACAGCTGTTTCGTCCTGTTTGGGAATCATCAGCAGTGCGCACTTTTCGCGTCCCTCTCATGACTCGAACCACGAACATTTCCACCGCATTTAAATGCATTCAAATAGTAGGGAAATAACGATCTCCCAAGGACTGAAACCCACACCGAACATCATCAACAGTGCCTGGTGCCTGTAAAAAACCGAACGGTCTAATCCAAACAGTCAGCATCTAAATCAGATGGTAGTGCTTCATGTATATAACAGATCTGCGGCCACGGCAGTCAAGTTAATTTCTTTGGTGTGCATAAGTTGGACATAAAAACACAGAGGTCAACCGCTTCCGCAGAGGCAATGGTGTTCAGATGTGCTAATCTGAATGGGTGAAGCAGCATTTGGTGAGCGATTTGCAATACTGACTCAGTCTTCAACTGGCCGCCCTGGTTGACCTAGTGAGAGATAGATAAATACATTTCCTATATTACCTTTCTGGTGTTTTTTCATCCACCATGACACTTGTCTCACGTTCAGGCAGACCGATGTAAGTTACCTTTTCAACACAGACACACGAGTTAACAGCCCCAGATGAGGCCACGATGCACTAAATGTCCTTGTAACTCCTATAGTAAATGTTCCACTCAGATGGTATTTTTGAATGATGGTTTGATGAACCAGTGCCTTTTAATTTAAATAAAGCTATCAAAACGAGGCCTAAATCTCGTTCGTCCTTCTATGATTTGTTTGTTGCTGGAGACAGTCTAAGGTTTTGTAACCGAGAGATGCAACCAAGCTGAGAAAGACAGTGTGGAAAAACCAGTAATATCAGAAATGCACTGAAGTAGATGGTGAAGTTACATCCGAAATAGTGGTGGAACGCGAGGTGTGCGAAGTGAGACGTTAATTGACGTTTGGGGATTGAGAATGCACTTGAACTGTACTGGGTGATTTCGGGGTTATTTCAGGCAAATACTCGTTCCGGGTGATCAGGTTCGATCGCATTGCTCAGGGATTCCTGGGTTTCAGGTTTCGACTCAAACGCTGGAAGCTCGAGTCCCAGCACGGGCACAAGAAATAATATCCACAACTGATGAGTTCCCACTAGAACGAAACAGCTATCCACTGCTCTGTCAGTCATTCCGTTGCAATTAAATTTTACATTTACTTGTTGCGAGCTATCAAAATATCAAGCGGTGAGACTTACAGTCGAACAATAACAACAACAACAACGCTGACCCTGGTGAGGTGAATTCGCGTGGACAATAAATGGTGATCCCTGTATTATTATTAAATCATTATTTAAATTTATAAAAATGAAATGAAGAAAAATCATAACCTAATCACCTTCGTGCAATCAGAGTAAATCATATTGAGTTAATACAACGAGGAGCTTTGTGTACCGGTTCCATTCGTACAGACGTTTAATAGACGCAGAAGTGAGACTGCTTTATGGACTGCACAGAAAAGAAATTTCCAATGTCTCGAGTTGTAAGATCAAATTACAATGAACGTGATAGTGAAGCGATGCCAACTAAGATCTGCATCAATAAGAGCTCCGAATTCACTGATAGCATCCATAACGTTTTTGCTAGAATAAAAATGATATGATAAACATTAGTGGAGACTGCTTAGCGGCAACCGAAACACACGCAGCAGGATATACAGGAAAAAAAAAATGAAACTGCTGTTCCAATGAAATCCAAATTTCTGTCTATCAAAAACATCCAACGTCGAGAGGTGGGAATTAAACCTTAACAGTACCGATAACATTTGTCTCAAAGAGAATTGTCTGAATACCACTGACATGAAGCGTACCGTCCAGTTTGTGTCCGCGTTTTTACCACCATGGTGCACCCTATGTCATGGATACCCTCGGGTTAAGCAGAGCTGAACCCTACCAGGCGCGTCCCTGGGTTGTGGATAGGGAGATACCTTCACCGAAGAAGGTTAGTTGTGAATATGTTGTGGCAAACCGCAACAAATAAGCAGTCGCGAACACACAGCGGTGGCACTACCAGGGTGTGGTGGGTTTCAGGCCGGTCACCTGGCTCCTGTTTAAAATCCGCATAAGCCCAGTGACGGTGTTGTGACAAAGGTCGATGTAACTAGCCTCTTAAAAATAAAATAATCGACCCCCTCACTTCCAAGGTGAGGGATTACTTCCTGCTGCCTTGCACTTCGCACTTGGTTGTGCAAAGGCTAGAGGTATACCCTCAAAATAAAAAAAAGCCCGAGTGACACTGGGAACGTCTCTCGTACCAAACTCCCTTGGAACTCCATGATCATAATCATGTCTTTAGGCGGCATATCCTTTCCAAGGAGCCAGCCGCAGTAAAGTAAAAGTAAGTACCCTATTGCACCACCATTACACTCATTAGCTCGGATAACTGGTTTCCTATTTGCTGCCCTTGAAACTGTAGCACTCTGGCCAGCGTTCTCTCCCAGCGTCTAATCCTTACTTTCGCTCATCATATTAGGTCACAATGACATGCGACCTTAGAAGCAACTATCAAGTTCACAGTTCCATATATGGCATTCACTTCAGTGTGATTCATATGAACTTTGGCAGATTTCTAAACTATTACGAGCGATAAAATGTACCATTTTCTTATTGTGAATGATAACCAGTATATAAGTTGTTCTACTTGATCCTGAATTTTGATATTGTGGCGTAATTTTTTTAAATATTTTCTTATTACATACCCAAGGGTGATAAACAGCAAACGATATAAACTCCACAGTAGCGACTACCCGTTGTTTATGCTTTTATGCAAGATATGCTGACCAGTCATTGTTTGTCTGTTCCATTTTGGCCAGGTGTGGCCGATCAGTATGTGTGGGATTTCGGTGATTCAACACCGAAAAATATCACCACCACTCGAACAGTGACACACACGTACACAGCAGTGGGAGACTACAACGTCATCGTCAACATGTCCAATGCGGCCGGTTTTCTGGTTGTAACTGACACTGTTTCCATTAGTCAACCATTGGATTTCCGGGGCATCACAGTTCAGGACGCCACGGTCAGTGTAGCGACAGAAATTCAACTGCAAATCACCAATGTGGATAAAGTCACTTGCCTGTGGACAATTGACAACCAAAACGTGTGTTCCGGTGAGACGCAAACTTGTCAGCACACCTACAGTTCCCCGGGGTTGTATCACATCCAGGTGAACTGCACCAATAAAGTGAACACCATCAGTCGAAGTGTAGTACAGAGAGCAATTAGTCCCATTCAAGGTAATTATTACACTTTTCTGGTTCAGATTTCCAATTATATATTGATTTTGGTTTGATAAACCTACAAGAACTGGGCTAATTTGAATACTTTTTGATTCCTCACTTTTCCTAACCATATATATTTAACACATTATAATTTGAACAGAGAAGCTCGTATAACAACTTTACCTAGTTATTGTCCGGGAAGATTTCGCTCCGTCCCAACTGGTACCTGGTACAGACAAATACCATGTTTATATAGCGTTTCGGAAAGAGTTACAAAATAAACAAATGACAATGGAGAAAGGGTCACCAAGGCAAAGTCAGGGTGACCAGCAAATCCTTCTGTTGACACAAAATTGGTTTCCATCGTTTGATTGCAATTGCCTCGACAATCTTGAACATTCTGATGTTATCATTAGTATAGACTCCTCGAACAGCAAGGTGCTACCTAATCAACAAATGCTTGGCAGTCGAGGATATTTTTAAGCATGGACCATGCCAATAACCGGCCGTTTATACCTTCACACGGTAACTTGGTTCACTGCATTGTCATTTGTTTATTTTGAAATCCATTTCCAAACCCTAATGAATATTGTATTTGTCTGCAGTAGGCACCAGTTGAGATGCAGCGAAATCGTTCAGAATATAAAAAGTTCTACGTTGTTACACTGGTTTCTGTTCTCAAATTCATTATAACGAGAATTACGTACATTTCGCAGTCACGCAGATTCAACTTGTCAACAAGTCAGACAGCTGCTTCATTGTTGTTACGGTTCGTCGACAGAGCGTTTGTCCCACATCATCCCGAGAAATAAATTGAGGAGTGATTCATTCGGTAGTCACTTTGGTCACGCTGGTCCTTAGTTGCACAAAGCGATAAATGCCTACCGTTTCTTGTTAGTGGACTTGCTAAACTTCATCAGATAGCATAGCATCTCATCAGGCTCCTATGGCGATTGAGCGTGAAATCATTTGTAGGCGAATAAGGAGTAGGAAGTAGAGCTTGTAGTCTACATGGAGGTTTGTTTTAAAAGATTTACCAGGAGGGGTGTGTTTGCTGTAATTTCAAGCTTGAAAATCATACTAGAAGATTAGTAGTCAGTCATACGGTACTCTGCTCGTCTATTAAAAGACTGAGCGGTGTATTTGAGGACCTCAGCTAGATGGCAACGAAGTGCAACCACCTTCGCGTATATAAACCGCTATGAATCTATCTTTCCTCCATCTGTTCGACAGTTGTATCTTAATTATCAATGCACACAACTTTCAGTTATAAGTGAACGAAATCATTGATACTCTCTAAGGTAGGGATATTTGGTCATCACATCAACTGGTAATTCATTTTTTCTAATGACCACCACGGCTGTTTCGGTGTACTGAAGTTTGAATTGATCGCAATCGATCATGGGCGCTGACAGATTTAAACTGTGATCAAACAAACTGATTAATCGACCCTCTGCATCGAGTGGGTACAGGGAGATCCCTCGGGTGTACACGCCGGGCGTTTCTGGTTCAGATTCTTCTGGTTTTGATATATCACACACTTTATTTGAACACAGTATGCACTTTACCAATAGAATACTACCCTACTCAGATTATTGATTGTTGGAATTAGGTGGGAGTAGCACAATACAAACGTTTTGATGTGTATCTGGTTTGCTGAATTCAGAGAAAATTTTTATTTTCCTGCAAGGACTGAAATCGCATGAAAAGCATTTCAATACGAATAGGCTGGAAAATAAAACAATAGTAAATAAATATAATTCGGTTTTTGGGTGGATGGAAGGAAGGAAGTTAACAGGCTTTATCTAATGATTCGTGGAGAAGTTACAAAGCAACGAAAACAAAAAACAAACAAAACAGGTGCGTGATGCACCGCACAATAGTTCACCCCACCATTTAAGGGAAGATCGATAGTACATATCCACCGAACTCAAACATACGAATTCAAATGTCCCACAACTTTCATCGGACAATCCAAGCAGTTCACTTTAATCGCTTTTGTACAAATGACAAATGATACATGATCAAAAGTATATCCGTCATTGTTATGAAGTTTCAGTCCACTTTTATTGGATTTAAAAATGATTTTTTACCGACTATTTTCAACTCTCCAATACTATGACTGAATGAAATTACGTATACAAAGTTATTGACTCATAATATGTACGGCATAAGAATGACTATAATAATGACTATAATGACTATAATACGGTTTTCGCCATTCCACATTCCATTAACGGTTTTCTTGCAGGCATGCACAAAAACTGAAACACTCGTTTTCTTTTCTTTCGATCAAAACTACCCATCAGGTCTGGCAATTTCCACACTCAGCTTTCCAGTGGGTAAACAGCAGTCTGTGATATTCGTTTTCACTAATGGTTCTAACATGGCGGCCTCACTTCAAATTAACGAGGTTGTGATACCGACCACGATCGACTACAACGCCCGCGAAATTCGCTCCGAACCACTTGATGCTGAGTTACCGAGAGTTTTTAACTATTCCTTGGATGTCACCAACCCTTTGAGTACAAAAAACGTGAAAGGTATTGCCGCATTTGATATTCCTGTCGCATCTATGAAAGTGCGCGTGAATCCAAGGTGAGTGTACCTGTCAGTGCAGAACAGGGGTGAAAAACACTCCACTTAAATGGATTCTGCATTGAGAATAACCACATAGGGAATAAATTGTGTTTCAAAAGCAATCAGAACTATTTATGTGAGTTTGTTTGAAGGGACTGTTTAATCCACCAACCAGGAACCTCATAAGTAGAACACAAGTACACCAACCAGTAGATCAGTTGGCATTTAATCGAACCATTCTGCGTTTTACCTACCTACTACACGGCACAACTCATCTTAACGGGCCTGTAAAAGGCACCACACCTCGCTTATCTCAGTATTTGCCTGTAGTGATTGTAGTAGTAGTCGTAGTAGTAGTAATGCGCACTGAACTCGGAATACGAACCGCGCAATATGGATCACGGAATTCGAATCAGGGATTGGCAATCACGGACTGGATCACGTAAGTATTGGACCGCACCAGCACTAGCACGCAATATCCCACGTAACTGAGAGGCGAGGAAAAGGCCACAGGAGTAGCAGTTCGTTAATTGGAAGAAATATAGGGGATTAAATAATATGTACAAAGTAAGCCCATTGGTTATCCAGGCTCCTACCGATCGCGTTCCAGTATTCCTGGGATCGTTCTACTTCTGTCTGGGTCGCACGGTCTCTGATTAGCTGGTACGATCTATCTATGAGATTTAGTCAGAAGCAGTGACACATTCGCGCATTGATGACGTCACACTTAAAGTTTGATTGATTATAGTTGTCCGAAAACTGTATTGCTTTACGTCATCTCGTAGGCCCGGATCACCGCATTGCCTCTCAAGTTTTCAAATTCGGAATGCCCTCAACCTGGTCAAAAGCCTGTCTAATTGCAGTCGATATCCGGTTGTCCAAAGAACATAGATCATTAGGACTCAAAATTCATAGGTACACATTATGATTGTAAAGTTCAGTAACGTCCAACAAGTGTCACCATCAAAACGGTCGAGGGAGCAACAATTCATTTAGTACTACTGAATTCGAAGAGACTTGGTTTTGTTGTATTACTCATTACTGAACATTAATCGCCTGTGCCGTCCTCTTTGTTCCTATTGTCACTGTCATCGTCCACCTCGGCAGTGGACCTCCAAGGTAGTCCTAGAAAAATTATGCTCGGAATGCCGGCGACATTACCATGTGTCTGTAGGTGTCTGTAGACATCACTTGAAAGTCATTGTTTACACACCAGCACTTAATTCATACAAGCCCGGTCTTGTTAAAACAACGGCTTGTCTCATTTTTCGGAATCGAAGAATCCACGTAAAATAACGAAGCAAAATGAGACCATATATAAAGGCAACAGTGCACATTTGTTTTCGGTTTTTGATGAATTAACTCATTTATTTGAAGAAATATTTAACGGGACGAGAAAAGCATGAGTTCATGAGTATTTTTCATATTAAAAAGAAAGCCTGAACTTTAAAATCGTTGGGTTCCAAAAGACAAAACCTTCCAAGTCAAAAACGGTAGGAATTCCGCAACGTATGACAAGTATGTTCATTTTGTTGTTCGTTTTTCATTTTTGATCAAGATTACAATCATTAATTCGGTAAAAATGAACACAAGCTTTGTAAAGGAGAAACGTGGTATATGACAGATATCGTGTATATTTATGTTTATTTGAATTTACGAGCACCAGGTGATGCGTATGCCTTTCGTTTATATTTTTATACTAAATAATTCTCTGAGTAGTCATCATAATCTTCAGTTTAATGTAATACGGAAAACAGCATCAACAGGTCTATGGTTCATAACAATGTTCTTCAAATCCTAGCATCCATGCCTCGTGAAGATATCAATCACGTTATGTACATTTGCGTTTTATTAACCATAAGTCAAGGATGTCGATTTATGAATTCAATCGATCGCGGATTTTTAAATTGCACAGTTAATTGAAAGTCTCTGGGCAGTGTACTCGTTGTTTGAATACACGGTGGAATAATTTCTCTATATTAGTTGTTTTGTTTTGAACTAAACTATGCAGACCCAGTCGGGGCCTCAAGAGTGGAACGGTTTTAGCACCGGGCAGCCGATCAGATCGTGTCTTAATTCTCTTTATACGCGCCATAGCACAAAAAGCTTAATGCGGGTATCACGGATTGCACATTCCGGCACTAGGATTCACACCGGTGATGCAACCAAAATAACTGCCTAATGCTTCCAATCTTTTCATTTGATTCACTCTTCTCTCACGACAAGATTCAGTACCGAAGCAAATCAAACCGCCCACCACTGTCGTGTAATACCAGGTTGGCGTTAACTAGTTTAATTCACATCTCGATTTACCAGTGGTGGTTGAAAAGGGGGCCGTTCACTTTCAATCTGGATATCGTAATATAGCAGAATTTCTCCCATCTCTCTATTTACCACACGCTCATCAATTCTGAACTTTTATGAACTGTCATAGTTGGTATCAGTTTCCGGTAAAAATTGAACGAGAGACCTATTAATTAAACACAAATTACACGAAAGGAAAACGGGCATCTCTGTACGTGGAGTACAAGGAGCACAAGATTTAATGGGATCAACAATGTAACTTCGTAATATTTTCAGGGTACTTCATGAATGGCCTGCAACAAGCTCGCAAAGATGGGTTATGCTATATGGTGTAAATGAAAAATAAAAACGGTCTGATCGGCTGTCCGGTGGCCAGGTGGGTGGTTATGCGTTCTGCCTGTGAGGTCCCAGGTTCGAACCCTGTTGGGTGGATGAATTTGCACTGCTGATGAAACCCAAGCAAGTCAAAACAGCTGTCCAGTGCTTCCTGGCTTCTCAGTTCACGCTTTAGTTACTATATAGTCGACGAATTTCTATTTGAAATTTAATCAAATTCTCCATTACTTACTTAAATCTTTTTGTACATGGTCGTTTTTTATTTTGTCATTTTTAGTATGGCCGACGTGAATCAACAGATAACCTTAGAAGTTACATTTGATCAGGGTACTGGTATCAACGTGACGGTGGACTGGGGTGATGGTGGTAAAACTGAAAATCAGGGAGCCAAATCGACTGAACCGTGGATACAATTGACTCCATTTATGAAGCAGTATACGCAAACTGGCCAGTACACGGTCACAGTGACTGCCCAATCCGGGCAGAGTACTTTAACGACCACGCAAGTGATCAGTATTTCTGGTGACCTTGGGGAGTACAAAGTCAGCCCGAGCAGTACTGCAGCACCCTTGAACCAGGCATTCTCGATCCGATTGGACAGAACCAGTGGGATGTTGGCAGTGATGACCACCATCATCATCGACTGGGGTGATCAGAGCGAACCACTTACGGATCAGTTTGACGAACAAAAATCGTACTCACATGTGTATTCGACAGAGATGAGCACAACCATAGTAATCACTCTGAAGAATTCAAAAGGGACCAAAACTCTAAATCAAGCAATTACTGTGCGAAAAGCGATCGAGAACTTTGGCTGTATATTCAGTCCAAATCCAGCGCTCGTGAGTCAGCAGGTATCATTCACCATTTCGATGCAAACAGCCATCGAAGTCCAACTACAAACCACATTCGATACCGGTCAACCATTCACTTCAGTGTCGCTACCAGGTTAGTCAGTGTTTACGTATGAATGATCGAACTGTTTTTCACATATGTGTGTGGAACACACAACCCTAGGTTGTACTCACTGTTTTACTGAGATTAACAACATGTAAGCACCATGTTTTTAAGACTGAAATATTTCATTAGGATGAATTGATGCCTTTTTAATGTCTATTAGAAGGGAGTAAAATGTGCTACTTGAGAATATATGGAATATGTGCAAATGAGAGTTACGTAGGAGATAATTTTTTCACATTGAATTTTTATTTTTCGCGTCCACTTTCTCGATGCAGATGATTTGGCCTCAGCCTCTTCTACCTCTCTTGTATGGTGCTGCTCTTGTGTGTCTTTCCGCAGATCTATAAGTTATGTTTTCCTTGATCTGAAAGCAGATATTGACTCATTCAATTACTGTTCACTCTGAAGCTGGTGCAGCTTTTTGGGTGCGCCGGAGAAGCTTATCTCCAAATTACGACCCTTTCCTATTGATAGCTGAAACCATGTTTGATTACACGCTTCTAGTCTTCACCCGAATTCACCGAGGAAAGTGGTGTTCATCAGGGTTGTCCTTCTCTCACTTTTTATATTCAACGTTGTAATGAATATGATTAAGGAGACACCTCTGTCCTTAGAGTAGGATAGGATCACGGATTTACTCCCTGGAGACAACTTTTGCGTCTACGTTGTATCAAACCAGTCCGGTGCGGCAGTCGGACAAGCAAAGCTAAGATCGAGCTCATAGCTTTAGTTCAACGCGATCTCTGAATGAAGCAAGTGTTTTTATTCCATAGATTACGTTGATTGTGATATATTTTACGCATATCGCTTGATCGGCTTGCTTGGCAGCCGATGTTTGCCGAGGCAGGTAGTGAGTAACAACCATTCAAGGATGGTCAAAATAGGACCTGAAATAATGGTATGAAGGCCCGATCAATAGAGTCCATCATGTAGGTCACGTCGCGCTTCCTGGTTTTAGACCTGGAAACCAATGCAATCAAGACGATTAGAGACCCTGAATGATACGACTGAAGGTCCAGAACAATTTCTTCTCATTCTGACACTACCTGAATGCTTTATCTTCAGCTAACATTCTGATTTTACTCTGTCCGTTCAGTAAAATGGGTAGCCACAGGAAAAGAAACAAATTGTTCAGCTGATAACAGTTGCTTGTTTTGGTCTAAAGCGGTAAAAATGAAAGTGATTGGTTGATCACGATTGAATGCTGAGATGCTACCAAACTATTCTGATCAAAATATTTGCCTATTTTCCAATCCGACTACTAAAAACGCTTATTTTACACTTGCCTACATAAGATAACTGTGATGTTACCCCAACCATCACACGCAGTCTGGTCACTGCCAATTGTATGGCGTAGGTGTATCCGTTAAGGGTGGATGATAACCTAGAACCTGCATTGTTTTTTGGACACCTCGGTCTACGCAACATTTCATATGTGTCTGGTGGGCAATGTCATAGACAGTGACTGTATTTGTATTGTAGTTATAACTTCTGTAGGATTGGCACCGACATTTCGGGCAGAAAAGTTACACAGTGGAGATAGAATCGTAGATCACGGACAAACAATCCTTCAATACCGCAAGACAAAACAACGATCAAGTTATGAATAAAAGTGAAACGGAAACCAGGTACACTTACGGAAGTGTGGGAAGCAAAGTACAAGCACCGTGTCGGCAACCAGATTAAAGAAAGTTACTTCCTAGATGGCGAAGTTCATATGGGATACAAATAACAAAACATCCAATATGCAAGTTTTAGAAGATAAGCAACAACAGTAGACTCAACCCAATAGATGGTACGAAGACAACAGCCATATATCACGAAGTCATCGCAAATCAACCTCCTGGTCAGAGCCTCATGAATCGTACTTCAAACCAATCAGCATTTTAGACCGGAAACAGAAATGTCCAAATTATACAGAGAAAAGCATCATTGCTCCATGTATACAGAGTTCACTTTAGCCGGATAGAAGTATTGTAAGGTGCTACTCATATTTGTGCGTAGTGCGAACTCACAAACGACTGGTTATTGGGTTTTCAACGCATCTCCGAGTGGCGTGAAGGATTGTTCTATAGAAGAGACAAACAGCCTGTCGGGCTGATGATCAC